CAAACTTCTGGCCTGTAGCTCTCTGGCCAACTTTAACCCATTCAGCAACGCCTCGTATTCCGCTTCATTATTGGTGGCTCGGAACTCAAGTCTGAGTGGTTGACTCAAAGAAGTACCCTCTGGGGTTTGCAGTTTAACCCCAATTCCAGCCCCCATCTGGTTAGAGGAGCTATCCACATAAAGTTTCCAAGAGCCGCACCTGAGGTCTTCTTCCGTATCTTCAGAGTCACATTCTAGCAGGAAATCGGCTACCGCTTGTCCTTTGACAGCTGTTCTCGGCTCATATGTTATGTCAAATGAACTTAACTCTATGGCCCACTTTGTCATTCTGCCCGAGAGTTCTGGCTTGTGCATAAGCACTCTGATTGGAAAAGTTGTTAGAACAGCTATAGGGTGGGATTCGAAATAATGCCTCAACTTTCTTTTTGCATTTACCAGTGCAAGTATCACCTGTTCGGCCTTCGAGTATTTTCGTTCTGCCTCGGTCATTGTTTTACTGACATAAAATACCGAGTGTTGCACGCCTTCCTTGCAACGAATCAGAACGGCACTTGTCGCAACACTAGATACTCCAAGATACAAAAATAACTTTTCTTCTGGATCCGGGGCTGACAGGACTGGTGGATTCTGCATATATTCCTTCAAATGGGTCAATGCTTGTCGTTGCTCATCTCCCCAAACTTGTCTTCCATGACTCCGAATCGTGTCAAAGAACGGCTTGCAGCGGTCTGACAATTTTGAAATGAATCGACTTAATGCAGCTATTCGTCCTGTGAGGGCTTGCACCTCTCTGATCGTCTTTGGCTCGGCATTCTTAATCAAAGCCTCTGCTTGAGCGGGGCTAACTTCGATGCCTCTGCGGTTGACCACGTGTCCCAAAAACTGACCGAAACTCACACCGAACGAGCACTTGGTTGGATTGAGCCTCATCCCATATCGCCTCAGCACATCAAATATATCTTGTAGATGTTTCAGATGATCATTCTTCTTCCTACTCTTTACCACCATATCATCAATATAGACTTCCACAATCTTTCCTATTTGATCCTTGAAAATTTTGCTAACAAGTCTTTGATAAGTTGCTCCCGCGTTCTTTAGTCCGAAAGGCATAACTTTGTAGCAGTATGTCCCTCGCTCGGTTACAAAAGAAGTTTTTTCTTCATCTGCCGGGTCCATAGGGATCTGATTATAACCTGAATAAGCGTCCAGAAAGGTTAAGCGTTCATACCCGGTGGTAGCATCCACCATTTGATCAATCTTTGGCAGCGGGAAGCTATCCTTCGGACATGCTTTGTTCAAATTGGTGAAATCAATGCATACTCGCCATTTCCCATTCTTCTTCTGCACGACAACGACGTTGGACAACCAATCAGGGTAGTGTACTTCTCTGATAAATCCCGCATCAAGCAGCCTATCAACTTCCTCGGCTATGATTTGGTTGCGTTCTGGAGCAAATCTTCATTGCTTCTGTTTTACTAGTTTGAGGTTGGGATTGACATTCAAGGAATGACAGGATACGGAGGGATTAATTCCAGGCATGTCTAGGTGACTCCATGCAAATACATCGACATTGTGAGACAAGAAGTCAGCTAGCTCTTGCTGCTCTTCCCTGGTCAGTCTTATTCCTACTCTGGTAGTTCGTTCTGGCCTGGACTGATCGATCTGCACATCCAGAAGGGGCTCTTCGGTCAAGTCAACTGACTCCTCCACCCTGTTCTGCTTGGGCGGAGGTTCCTGTAATTGCTATCTGGGGCTTGCCGGTCGGACGGGCGCCTTCCCTTTCCCAGCATACTTTAGTGTGACGGAATAGCACTCTTTGGCTGCAACCTGATCCCCACGAATGTCTATCACCTTATTTCCATCGGGTCCGAGGCACCTCATGACCTGATGCAAAGTTGAGGGTATTCCTTGGACTCTGTGAATCCATCCTCTTCCCATCAGGAGATTGTACGAGGGGTGAATCTCTACAACCACAAAAGTTTCCATAAGAGCTCATTCTGCAGCTTGAACTTCTACTTCCACCATTCCGACGGGCTCCACCCTCTTGCCATCGAATCCTAACAAGGGATTTCCAGTGGGCTTGAGCCTCTCTGGTTTAATCTCGAGCCGATCAAATGTGTCCCTTGGCATGACATTCGCACTGCTCCCGGGATCGATCAGAACTCTGCGCACCAGGCAGTCCGCCACTGTCAAACTGACTACCAACGGGTCTTCATGGGGGATTTGAACACGCTGCAGGTCTGTCCTGTCGAACTTTATCTGTATCGATGTGATCTGCTGGTGTAGAGTATTCACACTGCTGACCCTTTTCTTCATTTGTGCCTGCCGTAGGCGCGCTAGGAGCAGCTCATCTGAATCTTCGCTGGGCTCGGGTCGACCGTGGATAGCATTGATTATACGAACTGGTTGTGAATTGTGGGAGCTTTGTTTATGGCTCCTTTTTACTTGTTCCATCGGTCGATTCTGCTCTGTCGCCGAGCCTTGAACATAACTCGCGAACTCCCCTCTAGCTATCAACATCTCCACTTGCCTTCTCAAATTCCTGCATTCATTAGTCTGATGACCGAAATCGGAATGGAAAGCACAATGTTTAGTCTGATCCCTCTGTTCGAGGGGTTGCCTAATTAGCAGTGGTGGATGAAACTTATCTTTGTTCTCCTGATATAGCCTCGCTAGAGTGACCTTCAGCGGAGTGATCAGCTTTTCCTCCCTGAACCTCTTTTCTGCCTTCCAGGAGGTCTGACGCTGCGGCTGAGCCTGCTTCTGCCTGATCTTTGCCTTGGACTTTTCCTCGGTCGACACGAGCGACGCTGTCCGAGCATTGGCTGCCTCCTCTTCTTCTAGGCGCACAAAGCCGTCGGCTCTTTCATTGAGTTCATCCATAGTCGTCGGCGTGTTCACTACCAGACTGGTATGGAACGGAGTGCCACGTGTCATGGCTAACTTGAAGGCTTGAACCGCTGTAGAAGGGTGGCATTCGATCACCATACTCTTAGTGAGATTAAACCTGGTGAGAAAAGCCTGGAGACGTTTATCTTTGTGCTGTCTCATTGTGAATAGGTTTGAGATGTCCTTTGGCGGACGCTTGTTCCCATAGTACTGACTTATGAACCGATCGCACAGATCTCAGAAGCTACCAATGGAGCTCCTAGGCAAGTTCTTGAACCAGCTGAGCGCCGGTCCAGCTAGGCTTGTAGGGAAACATTTGCACATTAAAGCGTCGTTTTCCGTATTCAGGGCCATCTTCAACTGGATATGGTACACATGATCAATCGGATCGGTTGTTCCGTCAAACAGAATAAATACTGGCATAGCAAACTTCCTTGGATGCGGGGCATTCAGGATCTCGTCAGTGAATGGTGAATCAACCGTTCGAGCCACGGATCAGAGTGCTTCATTCTCTCTTTGGCGCCCAGTGGTAGCTCTGTGAGCTACGGTTCTGCTCTCCGAACCGCGATGAGTGATTGTAGCCATGGAGGGCCGGTAGGACGGATCGAACGACCGTTCCTCTATGAGCTCTCTTTGCCAAGGCGACGCAACTTGGCGGCGATCAACCTCTATCACCTCCTCTCGGTTGAACCTTTCCCGATGCGGATCGAAGGTCGTGGCTTCGTTCTGTCTGATCTGCTCATGTCGCGGATCAACGTGAGTCGATCCTTCGTGATCCTCAACTCGACGAGCATTTGGCGGCAAATCATCCATCCTCCTTTCATCACGGTGGAGAGCTGACTGACTGTTCTCGTCCTGCTCGCCTTGATGCGCGATATTAGATTGAACACCTCCTTCTCCGGCCGGAGGTGGACGCGAAACCGCGGGCATTTGCTGATGTTGCATTCCAGCTTTCAATTCTGCATTCTCTTTTTTGAGAGCCTCGATCAAGTTCATCAACTCCTCAAGCTTTGTTTGCTGGACAGCCTCCATCGGATTGGAGCTTTCACCTATCATTATTCCTGAACGGAGTAAAGGCATTAATCTCAAGTTCACGAGTAGATCCGAGCTTCGTGAGTGGGAATTTTTCAGATCTGGTTTCGAATTCTCCGAATTATGCTCACGGTTGACGAGATCTGAATTGTCCGAATTCTAAATCCGTCAGATCCTGCCATAATCGAACAACTCGTTGTTGCGTAGATCTGAAGCCACTTCTGCCAAAGCAACAGGAACTAAAATTCCTCCAGAGTAGGTCACAATCGCTCAGATCTGGATCCAACTCCCAAAGATCGAGTCTTGATCACCCGGATTGGTCTGAATCCACGCGATATTAATCATTGATCAACCAATCTTCCATGATTCCCACAGACTGCGCCAATTGAAGATACAAGAAATTCCTTCCCTCTTTCTCTCTCTAGAATTCTTGCATTTCAACCAAAAAAATATCTCTCCTTTCTTTCCATTACTTCTCCTATTTATAGATATTTACAAATGTTAATGGACTGCTGGATCTAGGCCCGTTCCTCCATGAGTCCTGGTCATCTTTGATGGGCTTATTCGCGTTCGGCCCATATGGCAGTGTCTTTCTATGGGCCTGACCCATCTGTACGGATCGGATGTCGCGTTTGCAAGTCATATCCGGCCCATGTCATCTCGGGCCTCCTCATTATCCTTCTTTTTTTTTTTTTTTTTTTTCTTTTCTCTCCTAACTAATACTTACATTTTTTTTTTTTATCCAATCTATCCAAACACACACTAAAGTACATAGAAGAGAGATCCAAAAACAAGGACTTAAAAAGAAAGAAAAAAGAAAAAAAAGAAGAAAGGTATTTTCTTAATTCAATGTGGTAAAAATGTCATTACAAGCGTAATTAATAATTTAACATGTTACCTAAGCATAACATGTTATCTAGGTAATTAAATTACAATTTTGGCAAAATTAATAATAAACATTATTATTATTATTTTTACAAGGCAAAAAAGATTAAAAATTAAATTAATAAGTGGAAAAAATCAAAATTCGACACTCTCAAAATCCACAAAAAACATAACTAGCGGACTATCCAAGCATATACTTAATAATGAACATTACATCTTATCTATTTGGTATCAATTACAAATTTGGTCTTTATATTCCACAAAAACGTAAACGAAAGGAACATGCAAGGACGAAGACCACTGACCCGATGCAGTCTCATGGCCCACCAAGTTGCAAAAGGCCACTTAAATAACAAAACCAACTACAAGTTGCAAAGCCCATTAAAAAACAAACCAACCGACCTCTCATTTCACGAGTAAATTGATTGAAGCTACACAAAGAGTGAGTACTTACTTTTTACCATAAAATTCAAGTAATTAAATACAATTATACGGTTGGCAATGACTTTCTTCTATTCTTTCCTCAAAGTCTCCCTCTCTCTCTCTCTCTAGAAAAATAGGTTAGTGCTTGAATTTTTCTCTCACTACTGTATTACACACACTCTCTCTCTCTAGAAACTTTACTAAAAGTCAAGAAAATAGGTTGAATAGATCATAGGATGATGAGGGAGAGGGTGAAAGCATGGGAGTGGAAAGCAAGGCTGAAGGACTTTGTATGAACATGTTCCCATACATGAAAGGACTTAGATCATTCAAGAGAGAGTAGGCATGTGGGTCAGATGACGGCGAGAAGAACCCACACGGTATAGGAGCTAGAGTCGCCGGCGCCGGCGACAAGATCCCCGGAATCTGCCCCATTTCGACCCCTTCAAAACTACCCATCAGATCACCAGTTCTTTCTCTCTCCTTGTCTCTCTCCTTCGGGCTCGTCCTCTCTATGGAAGCTATCCTGGCCGCCGGAGAGATATCGCCGCCGCACGCAGCCGGAGAGATATCGCCGGAAGAGGACGAAGCGCCGGTTAGACGTTGCACCAAGTCTTTGTAATCGCTGACGGTGGTGTGGATGACTTTTGGGGAGACCGAGAAGATTATCAACGGCTGGTTTCGCTGAGTCGTGAACGCCTGCTGCGGCGGAGGACGTGGTTGTGGTTGTGGTTGTGGTTGTGGGGCTACTGGTGGCTTCTTGATCTTGTACGAGTCTTTATTGACTTTAAGTGGGGTGGGACGAGGACCCTGTAGTTCTCTTCTCGTCGGAGATGGCCTGTCGGCGGAGTAAAAATCCGGCAGGTCCATGATTAATGAAAAAAGCAATGGTAGGTGGGAGAGAAAAAAAGAGGGGTTTTGTAGATAAGAAGAAAAGGTGCATGTATGTGTGTATTTTTTGTGACCATTTAACAGCAAATAAATGTAAGAGGTGACGCAATGTAAGTGCTGACCCCAAAAGTGGACTTTCGAGGAAGGGAAATGTTTCTGCGTAGGCTTCGTGTTTTGGTCCTATGTTTGGGCTGTGTGGTCAATTATGTAAATAAAATAAGGTAAAGTATATTCGTACCCTTTGAAATTTGACAAAAGAACATTTAGAGAAAAATTTACTTATTTTTTGAATAAAAATATCATCTAAAGGTTCAAAAATGGATAAAGACACCCCTTTACATGAAAAATTGACCAAATTACCTTTTGACAATTTAAGTGACTTCTTTAACTTTACAATTTAATAAATTGGATCAATCTACCCTTATGAATAATTTATGCATAAAAAAAAATTAAAAAAAACACTTTATATTTTTCACTTTTTTATTTTTATTTTTATTTTGTTATTTACATTATAAATGTCCCAACTTCTTAAAAATGTAGACAGCTAAAATGATTTTTTGATTCAATACATATATTTCAAATAAATTATATTTTATTATTACTTTTTTTCTTTTTCTTTTTTATTTTTAAATTAAGATATTTAATTCTTTCATCTAAAAAAATCAAACTAATCTCTTTTCCTTAAAAATAAAAAATATGGTACAAGTATAACTTTATGCATCTTAAATTATATATCAAATATTATGCATTTCTCAATATAAAAGAAAATAGGTACTAGTATAACTTTATACATCTTAACTTTATGCATGCCTTTGTTTTATTATTTTTTTCCCTTTTATGTTGGAAAATGCATAATATTTTATATATAATTTAAGATACATAAAGTTATACTGGTACCATATTTTTTATTTTTAAGGAAAAGAGATTGGTTAAAGTTTTTTAGATGAAAGAATTAATTTAAAAATAAAAAAGAAAAAGAAAAAAAGTAATATCAAAATATAATTTATTTGAAATATATGTATTGGATCAAAAAATCATTTTAGACGCCTACATTTTTAAGAAGTTGGGACATTTATAAAGTAAATGACAAAAAAAAAAAAAAAAAAAAAAAAAGTGAACAATATAAAGTTTTTTTTTTTTTTTTTTTTTTATGCATAAATTGTTCATGAGGATAGATTGGTCTAATTTATTAAATTGTAAAATTAAAAAAGTCTCCTAAACGATCAAAGGGTAATATGATCAATTTCTCATATAAAGAGGTGTCTTTGTCCATTTTTGAACCTTCAGGGGGTGCCTTTGTCCAAAAAATAGGAAAGTTTCATCTGAGTGTCCTTTTGCCAAACCTCAGGGGGTATGGCTGTACTTTACTCATAAAATAAAGAGTTAAATGTTTTTTTTTTTTTTTTTTTTTTTTTTTTTAATGACATACAGAAAGATTTTATAAATATCATAGCATCAAGGTCATGAGGATCTTTGCGTGCTATCTTAAAGCACAGAGACAAATACGTGGATCTTTGCGTGCTACCTTCCTATCCAGATCTACCTTGGGAAGGCTTGGAGCCTACATTACGATAACAACAGACTATATAAATTGGTATAATGCTAGTGACAACATCCAGAAGGCATGCTTTATCTTCCACCGTAGTATATAGCACATACCAGATGTAGTGGCCCATCCCATAAGCACTCCAAGATCCAAAACCATGGCAGCCCATAACACCAAAATATCTCCAACTTGCACAACATCGCCTAAGGATAGATTATGTGCAACAGAGAGAACAAAGTCCTCCGGAAGAAACTGAATTCACCAATCCGTAGGAACATGACTCTGGGAAAGCTAGACAACAACATTAACCACCTCGTACCTCTGTCTATAAACAGAGTTGACCCAAGCCGAGGGGAGAACCTGGAGTACCATACAGATATCAAAGTGACAAAAAAAAAATGCTATCAATACATAGCATAATACAATCTCATAAAGACATAGCACCACTACCAAGATTCCAGCAACAACACTGTTCAAGACCAATTCTGTAGAACCCTTAAAAACTTTTCCATTGCCTCCAAAATATATGGGAACTGAAGAAAAGGAATTCTTGATACGCTTTAACTCGAATAAATCGGGAGGAACCTAACGTAAATCCACGGATCGGCAAGGAGAGAGAACCAAAGAACCCACTACAAAACAAAGATAACCAAAAATTCCATTTGGGAGGTAAGCCATCAAACCATTTAAAGCCATATCAAATGGACCAACATTGAAAATTAACGCAGAATGGGCCTTATCAGTCCCAAGAAGAGACCCTAAAGGTGCCAAAAAAAAATAGGCCTCTAATACAGAATACAAAATGACCCACTTAAAGGCATTAGGAGAAGTGGGTCCATAAGAGCTCCCAAGCAAGCATCGACCCAAAAAATCTCTTTCTTTGCGTTTCCCTCATGTAAGGAAAATAATAAAAAAAAATGATGTGACTGTGGGCCCAGATGCAGACCATGTGTTGACAAAAGCAATACATACGTTGTGATACCCCTCGGATCTGAGACACGGGTTGATCAGGCCCAAGCCCAAACCCGAGGGAATATCAAATAATTAATATTTTATAATGAACACGGAATACAAAATAAATTAAGAAATGAAATTAAAGCTGGAAGGAACTAAAAATAGAATCCGCAAAATATTATAATTATTAAAATCCATCAAACCCAAACTCCAAAACTCCATCAGTTTACAACTTGGGAATCCATCTCTAGTGGACCCCTATTAAACATCCAAACGGAAGATAGAACAAATGTAATAAACGTCCAGAAATAAAACTATAGAGAGAGCCCTACATCGTCGGAAGAGTGAATAGAGACCTCTGCTCAGCACGAACACGTCTAAGCCTGGAACTGTCGTGTACCTGAAAAATAGAAGTGGGTCAGGTCCACGCGCAAGTTCTATACTACTACAATCCAAACAGAGGCCCGATACGCATGTACATCCTAAACAATTCAACAATAGCTAATAGTCCGTAAATATATATATAGTCACACTAAAGGACTCTCACTGGACTACAGGCCGGTCTCAACCTGAATAGAGGTAACATGCTAAAACGCACACGAAGTGGGCATATGTACCTATACCTAAACAGGGTACACCTCCAACCATCGTAGCCAGCTACACATCCCGATGCATATACGCTCCCTAGCCATCGGTCCTGAGGCTCAAGCTCATACCGAGGCACCATAACAGTACATATATAAAATCCATCCAAAATCCCTGGTATTGCCGCTTAACAAGTAGTTGCCATGACAATACAAATCCACGGGACTTAACTTTTAGTTAATCCCATCCTTATTCCAAGTAGGTGGGTAATGGTATTGTTTTAAAACCAAACCCATCCTTAGTATGCCACCGTCCCATACCGGTGCCTACTTTCCAATCCTCCAGTAGTCAATAATACCAATAAATCAAGCATATATCAACTAAATTCCAACATCCAACATTCAATGTTAGCAGTGATAAAATAAGCATTGATAAACAGGGTCACAACAACAACATATACATACCCAATTTAAGTTGTTCCCTTTAGTCTGATATAAAGACAAAATTAATTAAAACTTCCATTTAACACCTTACAAATGACATACAGATATGTAGGGTATGTATCACAAAATCCTAACCTCTACAGTTGATACTAACTGTGATAATGTAAGCATCAAAACAATATTCACAGTATGTATGTAGACATGTTCAAATTATAGTGTTCCACAAAACCGATCTAGTGTTAAACTCAAATCCTCCTAGTATTTAAGTTCTAACAGTTGCTATTACAGAAGTTAAGATAGCTATCATCTACACCCATCCTTCCAATAATTTATACTAGCAGTGGTAAGGAAAAACGTGAACCACAAAACCACAATGCATCCACAAACATGCTTAGTCTAGGTTGAACAAGCATACAACACTATTGTAACTACCAGTTTCATAGCAAAACAGATATCATTTTAGTTTGGTTTAATCTTCATTAATCCTGGAATCATTTAAGAGTGCAAAGAGTATGAAGCCTAAGGGAAAGAGTAAGGATAGAATCTTGTCTCAGAAACTTTTGTTCAAAGTTTCAACGTCGTCTTCTTAAAAAATCCCGGCGAGTTCCAAAACCCGGTTACTGTTCATAGGTACGAAACACTGTTCCCGAGGTCAAACTCTGATCTCCACCGTTCAGATTGTGTATCACTGAGTCGTGAACCTCTCTTCCAAAATTCAGCTCGATCGGACCACGGACGAAGCGGGATCGGATGTTTGATGAAATCTGGGCAGAATGGAAAAAAAACTTGTGCGACCCAGTTACTGTTCACTAGTACGAATCACTGTTCCCGAGGTCAAACTCTGATCTCCACCGTTCAGATTGTGCGTCACTGAGTTGTAAACCTTTCCTCCAAAATTCAGCTCGATCAGACCACGGACGAAGCGGAATCGGAGCTTTGATCAAACTTTGGCAGAATGTGAAAAACTGCGTTTTTCCTTCTCCACTTCCACAAAACGTGTGCTTTGTTTAAAAAAACCCTACACAGACGTCTACCTTATACTTATAGAGTTTTCCTAAACCCTAGGTTCATTTAAGTCCAACTCACAATCCTAACCGGCCCATCCAATTAACGTAGAAACTTACGACGGCTATAATATAAAACCCTAATTTATACTGTAATTAAAACCCTAGTTAGATGTATTTACCTAATTACCCTATTCACCATTAAATACTTAACAAATAATCTAATTGAACAAAATAATAATTAGTAAACCCAATTAAACCAAATAAGACACACATAGAATAATTAAACCAATTACACTTAAACTATTAATGCCAATTAAATAATTAAAACACTAACAAGTAATTCCAATCAAATAACTAAACCAATTACACTTAAACCATTAATGCCAATTAAATAATTAAAACACTAACAAGTAATTCCAATCAAATAACTAAAAATAAATATCATTTAAATAAATTAAATCACCACAAAAGAAAACAATTAAGCACCTAATAAAAAAATAATGACACATAATCAAATAAAATGCACTTAAATAATAAATTAAATACCATTAAATACCAGGAATATCCTTTTTAAAATTAGGGGTATTACACACGTTTGGTTGATCAAAGCTACAGAAGGACGTTGACTAGA